TCTCCAACTTCACTTGCTAGTTATCTTCCGTTCCGGAAAAACAAGTCCTTGGTCTAGTTAAAAAAACCCCCTTTACTTGGTCTTGATTTCCTTTTCCTGTATCCAATCCTCAAAGTCGCCCTACTACTTCTAGCCTGTTTCTAACAAAGGTAAACCACAACCATATTTCTTTCCAATGCTTCTGTCTTTTTTCCTTGGGGGTCAATGGGGTCCTCCTGGGAAAAAAAGGACTTCACCACGCTTTTTCCTGACGTTCTCCAGTATATAAAGACCGCTTTGTCTCTCCCTCATTCTTCCTCTCCCCAGCTCCTCATCCATCACCAAGCCTTCCACACTGCATCAAATCCAAGTTTTCCAGCCCGTCCATTCCCATCCTACCTCAATTTCACCTTGCTTTATACCCAACAATGGTTTTCACTCGCAGCACCAACTCCAAATCCACTTGTAGCACCCCTTCTCACCTCCCACCGGTAATTGTTTTCTTCTTCATTCACTCTCTTGTCCTTCACCCATATACTGATGTCAAAATCTTATTATCTTTTTTGTGCCCAGGTCGTCCACGGCACTCCAGTCCCTCATTTGGTAAGCTACTTTGTTATTCCTTCTCTTCATTGCCCCATTACTAATGTTAAATTCTTGCTTTTCCTAGGGATTTCATGCCATACACATGGGCTCCTCTGTTTTGCCCACTGAAATTCATGATTTCAGGTCTGGCTAGGCCCTTTACTCCTGTGAATACTCCCAAGTCTAAGACTCCCGTTCCAGTAAGTGTTTCCCCCTTTTTTTTTCTCTCAGTCTTTTGTGACCACTGACTAGATAGTTGATTGGCCCTTTTCAGATTCATCCATCAACTGTGGCTCTGACTTCTAGTTGTGCCAGTGAGCACGTTGACCCTAATTTATTAAGCTTCTGATTTGCTTATTACTTCCTTGTTTGTTCTGAGTACTGATCAGAACCAAAATCTTCTCCTTGTATCCTAGGTTCAAGATGGCATAAACTTCTACCTGGTCCCCGGCATATACTTCCTTGGCTGTAAGTTGCCCACCCGTCCTTGAGAATTGACCTGAGTTTGTGGATCACAGCTCTTCCAATGGGAGCTCAGCTTCCAATTCCTCTAGCTCATTGATTCCGGATGGTTTCAGTTCAACTTCAGATTCTGGATCTAGTGCTCTGACATCTGAGCTGCTTTCTGCCCCTCACTCTTCAGCCTTTCCGTTGCTCACTTCTTCCAATATGCTTCCTTGTTTGTTGACAGGGGCTTCAACCTCTTCTCAAATGGCCCCATCTCGTCAAGTTGTTGGATCCAGTAATTCTTATGACAGCCCTATGATCATTGATGAAAACATCTACTCTTCTGAATCCAAACCCAATTACATCCCTTTTGGCCCAGCTACCAAATGGGGATTCACTCAACCAACTGGTCCTCCAACTAATGCTCCAAATCCTAACCCGTCTGCTTGAGGGATACTCAATTTCAATTACCAATCTATTCACAATCACCTTGTTGGTTCCAATTCTTACCCATTTGGAACTCAAGTCTACCGCAAAGAAGACTTTCTCTTCTTGCTTCAAAACATAGCCAATCAATTTATTCATTTGAGTAACAAGTACCCTGCTTCCACCCTTGTCGAGATCAAGGATTGTGCTCACTTTTACCAGAACCTCCAGTGGGTTTTCACCGCTGATTGCCAGGTCTTCTTGGCCACCCATTGCAATTATCCATAGGGTAAGTTTTCCTTAATTCCTCTTTTTGCAAAACTTCCTTCTGTTTGCTGATCCATGGTTTTTAAAAAACTTTTTTTGTCATAGGTCCTCCAAGTTTTCCATTCATACACAGGAATATTGACCACTGCAGTTGATGGGTTAGGTTTTTGAGAAGAGATGGGAAGAAAGTAGAGAAGTATTTGAGAAATGAGAAGGTGGAGCAAGGAGTGTGAGCAGTACCAGATGAGAAAGTGAGAGGGGAACACATAAGACACCAGAGCAGAAAATTGAGATTGGAGAGAAATTTGGGAGCATGAGCAGAAAATTGAGTGGTAGGCAGGGAGAATTCTGCCAAATATAATTTTGCGGCGATTGTCCCTGGAGGTATCAAAGTAGATCAAACTAGTAGGGCCTGTAGACTCTAATTTCAGACATCATGTCTTTTTACTGACAAGGCAATCTAGACCATCAAAACAAAAATATGTATATGATCCAAGCTCCTTGGGAATTGGAATGCCTGGAGCTGGATGCATTGGATTTCATAAAAAAAGTAGCAAATAACATAAAAACCCTGGTCCC